TGCTTAGTAATGTTATTATAATTGTCAGTTGCAGAAAATACAAGCTATTATACAGAAGGATAATTTGATAATTTCGACCAGCAAGCACACGTATTTGCGGGTGAGATAAGCGTCACTTCATACATCGCATCACCAACTCCAATCAAGACTGTTTTTTCAAGGTAAATTCCACTTTTTTACCACCATTTCTTCGCAAGCCATATCATTAACTTCCATTTAATTCGTGACTATACTATTCCTCAACATCAATCATTCATTAAATATTAAGACAATGCTAGTGCATTGTCATTAAATACACTTTTTATCTCCCTTTTTGTATCACGCTTGTGGCAAGGGTTCACGCTGTACCCGCTGAGATGAAGGAGACTACCGAATGAAGAGATGCCGAATAACTAAGTCGTGTTGTAAATAAAATCTAATTTATTGACGCTGCAGAAAAATGTATACTTCAGTCTCATAAACCGTTTGTGAGGCTAAAGAAAGGATGGAGACCGTTTCACGGAATGATAGCCTAATTCCACTTAGTCGGAGGCCTCGTAGTACTATTATTCTCCTCAATATTCGCACATAAGCGGTCTGTCTGGAGTATTGCTGAAGACTGTAAAGAGAAAAGGTTCATCGAGTAGCTGGTGATCAAATCTACTCGTGATTTGTGAGATGGGGAAATGGAAACGGAATACTGTAGAAAATTTCACAGTCCATTGTGTTTTTTTTAAATTGGTTGTAATAATTTGTTCCTTTCGCGCAACTGCGACCTTTAACCATCGTTTAGGCATTGAGCTTATACATATTTGGATTAATACTCCGTTCAATTTTGTTTTGGCTCGTTATGTCACAGTCAATCATTGCCTTTTATCCCTTCGGCCAGATGCTCGACGCCGTTAGTAACCAGGGTTCACAGACTGTCAACTGTTTAGGAATCCGTGGTATCTCAAGTCGCATAACTTCCGTGATTTCACGGAGTGGAATTAAGCAATTCACCTAACAACACCGGCTTCAGTTGGATATGGATTTTTTTGCAAATATATCGAAAATTAATTCAACGTGTCTTTTGTCTAAAATGTCTTGTGTCTAAAATCTCATCATTTGCATTATGAGATTAAATAAGAATGAAGTTTTGTAGGGATCAATAATCCATTCAATTCATCCAAAGCTAGAGTTTTAGTGAGCTGCTGTTATATTTGGGAATTGAATTTAAATATATAATAGGTCAGTGCTGCAATTGATTACGAAAAATGGCGTGAGAAAAATCTCGTTGGAAAGTGTGTGTGTGTACCATCAAAATATTTTAATTATTTTGATGGTGCCGAGAGTGTAAAATCAAAAATTCATCATGCGACATAACTAAAAATAAAGAATAGAGGGCGATAAAAATAGTGCAGGTTTCATTTATCTTGAACTTTCTAAATTTTAGAAAATTGGTTTTAAGAACAACATGAGAAACTATGTGCTGTTGTAGCTCCACTGATTTTTTGTTTGTTTAAAAGCATGAATGAGATCTGCAAATCAACAAATAAAACATCTAACTTAACCTCCTTTATTGGGTAAATAATTGTTCGATTTGCTCATTCGATAATAAAACACATACACCAGTGTCACTACTTGGAATACTGTAGGACTCACGGCCCAGTCTGGAAACACATGACATCATTGGCTTGAAAGCGCAATCCTTCACTTTCATATTTCCACCATTGATCACTGAGGCGTTTCTAATAAGCCAACAGTCTCAATTCCTTGGAACCAGTGAATTCAGCTGATAGCATTTCAATTGGATGGAAAACACATGTTATATCCAGAAAGCGAACTGCAGTTTCTTTCTCTAAAGACCTGACGTACAGATATCTGGTTCAGTTATGAGTAAATTGGCGAATAAAAGAGTGTAGAATCCGCGTTGCATCGATGACGAAGATAGCGACCATGCAAGATTTCATTTCGCCTCAGACACGCAGAGTGCGATCCGAGAGATCATGTTTTCCCACACGAACAGCCTCGTAGCCAGGTACTCTAGGTAAGGGAAATAAGAGTGAATGTCTGCTAGTCACGGGTCATGCAGGATTTTTGAACTAAATGAAAAAGTCATGGTTAGCAACGGGAATACCAACTGTACTTCAGAAATGTGTTGGCTGTGAACAGGATCACGTTAATTATACACTACCGTCGCAACTACTAAAGGTGATATATCGCGAAATTACTTTGAAAAGAATAAGCCAACGTTGCAAAGCAAAAACACGTAAATGACGATGTTATTTACTGCGTAAACGTACAGAAAAAAGTATGTTTTGTTTTTTGTGTTAAAGTACCGTTCAGAAAAATAACTCAAAACGATATTCACAGTTCGGGTATGCGTCTTAAATGTGTTTGCGCCATAAAAATGAGTTTTCGTGTACACCATATTCTTGTGCTTCATACTGTGCACACACACATTTCGGATCTCATAGCACGTTCGCAAATTGCATTCCCCCTATACGTCAAACATATTTTTAAACTGTTCTTGACGTTAAATAAATAAATAAATCAGTGTACAAATTCTACCTGTTGGTGTACAAAAAGAAGAGAAATAACTTCATGTTCATTGCAAAGTCGTAAAACGCCCGGAGAAGAGTTAATCACGTAAGTGGTACGTAGGTTCTGACCCATCCAGTATCTGCATGTGTGTGTACTCGACCAACCCTTTAGACGGAATGCCTGACTCTGCGGTCTACTAATCTAGGACACTAACCTCATACTCCCTTACATTTGCGAGACTCGTCTAAATATGCAAAAGTACTTCTGTTCTTGTAAAACATCTTCAACGGAACGAGATCCTTTTTGCCTGAGTTCACGTCCACCCTTGCAGGAGTTTTTGCTACGTGAATCATGCCCAGTTAATAATCTGTAATGGAGCTCTCTAAATTACAACTTGATGTTTTGTGGATGACACATCTGCTCTTATATAAACAATTGTGAGAAAAAGAAGACATTATGCATCGTGGAGAAATACATGCTGTTAATTCTGACAGAATGACATTTCATGCAAAAAAAAAACAACAAACAAAACAAAACAACAAAAACCGAAAGAAAAAAAGCAGTTAAAAAGTATTTTGTCTTCCTAAATATATTCCTAATAAATATAGTGTTTATATAGTGCATTTTGTGCTAATACACTATATATAGTGTATATATAGTGTTTATATAGTGCATTTTGTGCTAATACACTATATATAGTGTATATATAGTGTATATATAGTGTATATATAGTGTATATATAGTGTATTTTGTGCCAATCTGTATAACATTTTAACATATTAACTTAAACAATTCAGTTCATTTCAGTGTATTACTATTATTATTATTATTATTATTACCAGAGGATTGTTTGCGTAAAATATTAGATAGAATATAAAATTAAAACACGAAAGTAAAACAGAAGAATGTTACAATAGATATTTAAACCTTAGAAAATGAACCTACGTATCCAGATGAGTACAATTAGTCTGCTTAACTTAATGAATTTCAATTGCATTGTCTAAATAATTTATGGTCACCAACCAACGTCGCGGCACCAATAAACTTCATTCGTCATGATCGTCGTCGTCGTCATCATCATCATCATCATCATCATCATCATCATCATTATTATCAATCCTAAGTCACTGATAACCATTTTATTTATTACAATCATTTTCTGCATGTTTGCGTTGAAACAATTTCTGAGATATAGCAATGTCATATATATAATTTGATCATTTGCTGTACTTCCCGTAGAGACACAGATGACTACGTCCTTTTTGAAGAAATAGTTTAACATTCACAAAATTGATATAATGAAACACAAATATCCTTTCGTTTTTGACCATCAATCAGTATGTTTGTCGTCAATAAAATTTTTTTGATGAGAAACATTCTGATTGATTGTCAAAAACGGAAGAATATTTATATTTTATTATTAATATAGTGACGATCAGAACCTTATCAAAGCCTAAGAAAAGTTCTAAAGGCTGAAACACTGACTCATGGTCTAAATAAAAAGAGGAAAAAACGTCCGTTGTGGACCGCTCCCCCGCGTCCGCCGATTGGTAAAACTGTTAAGGCGGGAAGGGCCTACGGGCGCAGTGCAGGGGCCGGGGGGTGCGTCGCGGCGGTGCAGTGCGGAAGCGGATGCTGGCATCCTCGGGCAGCGGCGACTGCCGGGGCGGCTGCCGGGGCCACGATCTCGCTAACCTGGATTCACGGGCCAGGGAACCGGTTTACTCAGGGGGACGGTACGCCGCAGCGGGAGGGGGCGGGCCGAAGGACGCCGGCGGCGGAGCCGCGTCGATGACCGCCGCCAGACCGGCTGCCGGCCGCCGCGCCTCGCCTTGACACTGAGAACGGCCGCCTCTCCTGTATTGTCCACGGCGCGCGTTTCATACCTTTATATATTTAGGAATTGGTTTATTATTAACTAATTAGTACTTACGTATTTTCTACTTGTTTATTTACTTTTTATTTTTATCTTTTACGTATTTTTATCTTATTATGTATTTTCTACCTGTTTATTTACTTTTTTTATGGTTGAGCAGCAATAAGCACTCGAAAGTTGGTTTGAAAAAAAATCTTTCTAGACAAACATTTGTACATTAGAAACACTCCAGAAACATGTAAATTGTTTATTATTTACAAAGGAAATGAATATAGTTGTTCAGAATGAAAAAATAATACACAAATAAAATAAATGCCCAATTTACACAATTCGACTGCTTTTACTTATTTACTCAATTACTTTACATCAAAATACAGTTAAAACCTTATGTGACGTGCGGAGGAAAAGCACAATGTGCGCACGCCCAGCTCCACAATTTCCACTTCCTTTCTTTGACTTTACACAAGTTAGCAATGGGAAGTTTGGGGCACACGTTCATAACAGAAACTATTTGCGCTCGAGTAAAAGGGACTATTTTCGAGAATTTGGGGGAAAATGACGACGCACGCATCCTAGGTTTTCCTGAGAGCTTATTGACTCTACTGCCGGAGGAGGCGCAATGTCATTCGCTTCTCGTATGCTGAAAACCTTAGCTCAAAGCAACACTGTCGAGCTTGGAAGACGTGTTTCTGGTGCACGGGAGGCGCTCGCGACTAGCAAGCGAGGATCATCAATCAGATACCAAAATTCTGGAAACTATCACAGCTTCTCACATGCAACTAGTATAAACTCCGTCTAAAACATTAAACCGGAATAAGTGGCTCAGAGTATCAATTGATTCTAGCGGCCGGCTGCTTTGATCGGTAGTTTCTTGTGGTTTCTCCGATCCACACCACGAGAAGCAATATCCTCACAAATAGGCCGCGGAGCATGCGCGACCTTTCCTTCTTTTTCCTTGACCTACCAACACCCCTTCCATACACACACACACACACACACACACACACACACACACGCTCGCTTACACGCACGTTGCCCATTGTTACTCGTAACTTGCGGCGGCCTCTACTCTGTTTTGCCGCCGCCTTTAATCTCTCCCAACTCCATCGCCAGCCTCCGTCCGTCCGTCTTTTCCAGCGGCACTGTTGGCACCGCTACCGGTATCTCGCACGCTTTTATCCACTACTTTCACCCCCTGCCTTTATCCCTTGCCTCCTGTCTCACCAACATCTCTGCTATACTCTGCCAGCCTCCAGCTTCTGACTTTTATTACCTACATTTCCACCTCTTTAACTACTTCTCTTTCATTTTACCATCCAGCCTCGTACCTTATTTATGTTATCTAATCCGATTGAGGTGTCTCAGGGCATCAACTGATGTCACTCCAATGCCTCTGACTGGGAAGTGCTATGGTTTGAGTTCCGACGGTGAAATGATTTTATACTTTAGCTATACAGATAGGTCGAATGTAGCCGCTGTTTGGAGAAGAATTCTAGCGGCCGGCTGCTCTGATTGGTAGATCTCCGATCAACAGCTGGCTAATGCCAGAACAGCACTCTTAAAAAGGGGCCATGGACCGCGCAAGTATCTTTCATTTTCTTCTTGTCCTATTCACACCCCATACTTACACACACATTAACGTGCACTACACTACCACACCTTTGGAGAGACCAGTCGGGAATTTAGAGCTCGTCCCGGCTGGAGCGGTGCCCCGCTGATGGAAGATGTCTGATTGGGGAAAACCCCGCTAGTCGACCTGAAAGTCTGTGCCGTACCCGGCCATTTAGAGGGGCAAGTTTATCGCCATCTGAAGAATAAACAGCCACTACACTTACGGATCTAATGACCATCGCAGTTCGCGACCAGAACGAAATAGTCAATCAAGGCCAAGTCGGAAGTGTTTGAATCTTCCATATACTACTATCATATGAACAATATTAACGAACGTTTTACTAGTTAATCGTATTCTGTTTTGTCAACTTTATTCTTCATTTATCTCTAAAATAATAATTTTGAGATGTCAATTTTCTTTTTCGACGACGAGGTATACAACAAGCCTAATAAGTATTGGTTTACGCCCGTGAATATACCGGAAGAGCCAACAAACACGCCCTCTGAGTGAACATCCTCAGTAGAGCCGCAAGGGAAAACATAATATGTGTGCTCTGAATGAGAGGAAGAGAGAGGGAGGAAGATAGAGAGAGAGAGGGAGGAAGAGAGTGAGAGGGAGGAAGAGAGAGAGTGGGAGGAAGAGAGAGAGAGGGGGAGGAAGAGAGAGAGGGAGGAAGAGAGAGAGAGAGGGAGGAAGAGAGAGAGGGAGGGAGGAAGAGAGAGGGAGAGAAAGATAATGTATTTTATGCTTTAATTGTAATACTCGAGGACAAATTTAAACACGCTTAATTTAAATGTTTTTACGAGAGTTCAATGTTATTTATATGGATCTTAAATCTCCCTCATTTTTTAACTACTTTGCAAAGTAATTTTGAATCTCAATTTTGTTTGTCAAAATCTGTCAATTTTTCAAAAATACAGAATTAAAAAAATGACACAGAAGGGGTAAAATCGGAAGAAAAAACCCATTACAGTAAAAATAATAATTTACTTGAACATCGTCTCCCTTTGTCCTTCCAACACACTACGCAATCAGTTGCGGCAATAACTTCAACCCAAAATTTCCCACTGAATATACTTGTAGAATCATAAAAACTAATTATATGTTTGGTCCTTGTTTACTTCAATGCGCTTTATTATATTTCGAAGTCGATTTTACATTTCTTAATTGATTTATTGCTTTTTTTGTGATTAACACTTTCCTTTCTACTACAATTCACACCATTGTAGCGCAAAGAAACGGTGATAGTTGACTGCTTTTGGCCATTGGGTCGTTCAGCCTTGTGTAACGTATTGCAAACGGACCTTGATACAGGCAGAAAGTCTGGCGCCGCGCAATCGCCGAAGTTAGGATTAGGGCTTAGACATACACCGTTAAGGTGTCGCAAGCGGCGGGGGTGGAAAAGGCTCTGAAAGCAGGTGTACAACATTCCAGAAATATATCGGAATCTTCTCAGAATTTTAGGAACTAACAGCAGCCAGCCAGCCCCCTGGCGTCGAGGCGATCACGTGATGTTGGTTGCCGTGCGAACGCGAATATGACGTCGCGAGTCACGTGGGCTGAGAGTATAAACCTCAGAGCGCGAGGCGCGAGGGTGGGCCTTGTGCACAGTGGGAAACCTCGTGCGGATGCACAAAACGTAGGCCCAGGGTGGACGTTGGCGAGCGATGCTGGTGGGGCAACCAGTACATCGAGAAGCCGCTTCGGAATATCAATTCCACTTGTGACAGTGGTCACACGGCGAAACACTGTACGCGTATGTCTTTCATTAGTGGCGAGGGTCATGATTAAAGCAATTAATTCAAGGTAGTTAGAGACGCTCATGAGATCCAGGGCCAGTCTACCAGAACTGAATATAGATATTTTAATTTAATATTGCGTGTAAATGATATTGTATATAAAACACTGTAAATAGTGTAGCTCTTGGATGTGATTTGTAGGGATATTCCCACGATTTCCCCCTTGGCGCAGTTCGGGATCACATCTCTCAAATTTTTTGCGGCCTTGTTTCACAGAAAACAACTCGCACGTTCCAGGTTCTCAAGCACTTTCCTTCCGTACGTTCTCCGTCATACAATCACTATGTTTGCTCTACCTATGAAGTCGTGGATTGAATCTGAGAGATGTCTCTTACTAACGGAGTCCGTCACCATTGTTTCTACCCAATCATTTTCGACTAATTGTAATGTAGAGTAATAGTGGTAATTTGCTGCAGTTGGCTGGGAGAGTGGCTAAAGGGCCATTCACAATCAAAACATTAACATAGACGTGAGGACATAAAATATGTTTACCATTCACAATGACCGTGAATATAAACGCAAACACAGACGCTTGTCATTATAGATACAATGAATACTCGGCACAGAAATTCTGTATACAATCGGCAATATTACGTGAAATGAACGCGATCATGGTATTAGTACATTGCTAACGCAATATTATGATGAATGGCAATTTATGCTCGAAGAAACTCCAATATTTTCTGTCTAACGAAAACAGTAGTCGCTGCCCTACGCGACACTGTTTTCAGATCACACTAAAGAAATGAAGGTTTCAGTTTGCACACTTTTTTGGTTGCGCTTTATGTTTATATTTTCGTTAATACTTGCATTGATTATTCTGAATTATTTCTTCGAACAACAAGGCAGCATAGTTTTACGTTTAAGTTATGTGTACGTTAGATTGGCATTACGTTGACTTGACATTAATGTTACGATGACATTACGTATTTTTGAGTCTTCCTCCTTGACGCAGCACACGGCCACCTCTCCGTATTTACCCATGAAGTGATTTCTGAGAGACTGCCACCCATGACCATATGATATTTGGTACATATTCTTTACGTCACCGTTTGTTTATTCCCTGCTCCTACCAAACCATTCTTCAGCCAAATGAAGGGCAGAGTATTAATGACAATTCACTGCAGTTCCCTTTCCCCTGGATCAGCCCTGACACTGACCTCAATATGAATGACCGGGACTATAAATTATTTTTTTAAATACAAGCATATATTTTTTAATTGAAACTTCATGTTTTGATTGTCCAATTGATGCATTTTATTAGGAAATAGGAACACATATATTATTGTCTTGCTGTCCGTGATAGTAACAAAGAACTAGTTTGTTACTCTTGATGTAACTACAGAAAGTGGTGAATATGTATATGGGAGGTAAATGCAAGAAAGCAATAAAGTAAGTCTTGTTTCATTGGAAACATGAAGCTTCTATTGCACCTTCTGTCTATGTAGCGGAGCCATTGCGAAGAACTGTTTTTCGCCTTCTGAAAAACTGTTGTGGAAAGGCACGGGAAATTTGGATTCAGTTGAAACATAGGACTAATTTTTTTACAGTTCCATTTCTGTTATTAACAATATTTATATCATTGTATTCTTTGCTTCGAGTACGAGAATTGGGGTGGAAAAATACATACTTTTGTTTAAAAAATCAAACTTGTGTCAACATATCAAAAAATTTAAAAAAACTTGCAAATTATAAAACAGAATTTGTTATTTTCCCATCGTCTACATGAAATCGATCTCAATCGCAGATCAATATTCGATATTAGTAGGTTTAAATTATATATTTTTAAATATTTATTTTGTGGGTTCGCCAAATGATTTCACTTAAGTATTTAAACGCAGTCTCCGGGATTTCCCCTAGGTGCAATTGCGAATACAACAGTTTCATTTCCACACTACCGTATGGTCGAAAAAGCGCATAAGAATGAGAAGTAATTTCACATGACCGTGATTTGAAGCGTCTGTTAGCACGTAAAAGTAGCGAGTCTCTGCTAATTGCTGCTGTAATTCGTGCGCAGAAAGGGCGCAAATCCTTCTGCAACAATGGTCTCGCATTTAGTACGGGCGCATGAATACTCAAAACATGAGCGCAAATGGAAGAAACGGGCGAACTCTCTACCGCCATGTGGAAAAGCGGGACGTATCAAATACACAGTCTATAAAGGAGGGCATTTGAGCATCCTGCTCCATCCACAAATTTTGGAAGGACGAGCTGCACAAAAAAATGAGTAAATCTTCCAGAATTGAACACATCTGATTAGTCCACCACTGCAAAGTTCATAATACATTCCAACGGTAATGCGCATATACTATTATTAAGGGATTTCAAACCAATGTTTGATCAAGTCGGAGAACTACAAAGATCACTGTTAAGAAAAGCATGTTCGTCTCATGCCTAGTTGCACGTTTTACCAAATCAGTGCTGAACACTACATCAAAGACAGTTGTTAATTTATCCAGAGATTCCCCAATACCTTAGCCAGAAATCTGTGAGTCGAAAAGATAATATTTTTATTTAATATTCATAACTTACAATCTGTTCTTGAACATTCAGTAAATGACTTAAAGTAGCAATAATAATAATAATAATAGTAATAATGTATTAATTATTATAATGTATATTCTTAGTGATTACATATTTAGTTTAATTAGTGATTACAGTCTCTGCTTTGCAGTTCCAAGATATGTTCGTGAAAATTAAATGAGAATGCAGCAAATGAGCAGGAGAATTATGCAGTGGGTTTAATGGGGAACTATTGGATGAATAATTGTGAAGGATAACAGAATAATTCACAAAAATACGTTACCTAGGTTAATGTAGAACACCGTAAAGTTTAAACTGAATATCAATGAATCAACTTGAACCAATACGGATTATTGCCATTCGCTTCTAAGACGGCAATTTTCTCTTTCTCGCATCACTGCATAAGCAGAGAAAGTATTTAATCGTGCGGCAGAAATCGACTATATTTTACAGAAAAAAGTGGTAACGAAAAAAATTGTAAATCTTGATCTATTTGTTTTAAATTACTTCCTCTAACACGTTGTTTAGTCGGAATACACTTTTATGTGTCCTTGATACCAAAAATCGTTGACGGAAAAACATCTGACCGTCTATTTACCTGTCTGTGGTCAACGCTAGTGGTTAAACTGTTCGAACGATTTTCTCCAAAACTGATATACCCTAATCGATTTGAAAATTTCATGCCCCACGTATTTCAAATATAATTTAAATTTTATTAAAAAAGTATTTCAAAAATAATGTTTTGATTCCTGAGGTACTTCACATGAACTCTCAGCTACGTATTATATCTGTGTTTCAGAAATTGCTCCAAATTATTTGATTATACTTGGTTCTGGGATAGCAAAAAAGGTCTCTTACATGAATGGCGCTAACTCCTGTTCTTTGCACTCCCTAATTTTTCGAATTTACGCCGATTTTATTTTTGTTGAACTCGCAAAATTTTTGAAAATTGCGGAGGTTATAAATTATGCGAGAAAGTACATGCTGTCGCATCACTAGTTCCGTACTACATCCGTGTGAGAATTACATGTAGCTTATATTTCAGGTAGTATGAGTTTGATAATAAATTAATAAACAAATAAATATAGAAAAATTAACAAATAAATAAATAGAAATAAGTAATTTCAAAAACATACGAATGTACCATTATACGCACTTCCATTAACTAAATTTCTGCCTACTCTTCCTAACTGATATAATCTTGAATAGCCTGAAATCACGAGTTATCTCATGTGAATTTGCATGATTTCATCAGACACTACCTGACATACTAGATGTGTTCTGCGTTGCACTTGGTACGCACGCTCCTTGAATTTGACGTTGAGAGTGCTAAAGTAATGTCTGTAATTGGACCATTCTTGTATAATACGTGTATACTAAGTGCTTCACTTATAATATCAGTGAACACAATTATTTTGAATTTTGATGAGCAATTTGTTGTTTATATTCAAGTCCTGGGATGAGTATATGAGAATGAGTCAAGAAGGAAAGAACATCGGTCTGAGGAAGAAGGAGAACCATGTACAGAAGTTAAAGAAGCGGGAGGAGAATTAGAAAAAGAAATAAAATAGGAAAACCTAAAATCAATATTTACAAGAAGAATAAGTAGAACAAACAAGAAGGCAAATAAAATAAGAAAAAAGTTGGCTAAGTCGAATGAAAATACTATATTTATTGGAATTTAGAAGGTAGAGGTACCAGAACACGAATGACAAGTTCTGAAGTTCTAAACAATATCATGAAAACAGGGAATAAAATGGAAAAGAATAAGTAGAGGGAATAAAAATGAAAGTAGAGGCTAAGGAGAAGATAAAAAAAAATTGCACGCCCAGTATCGGAAAATAGAGGCGAAGAAGTAAAATAAGACACCCGAAGATTGAGAGCCACAGCACACGCAAAGGATCGGAACCCAAAGACGGAGAAGAAAGTACGCAAGACGTTTTGAGCGAATTCCATCCCTTTCTAAGCGGATGTAGACGCAGCGGTGAAAGCACCGTTTCGCGCGATGGGAAAAAACAAAAACAGAACGCGGCCGCCGAGGGACCGGCAGCCCTCGTGAGCAGGTGGCTTCACTTCGGCCCTACGCGCAACGCCTCCCCGCGCCAACGGGATCACGCCCGCCGCCCAGCTGGCCGGGCGCTGTTGGAGCGGGGGACTGCGACGAAAGGCACTGAATTGCCCTGATCACCAGAAAAACGAATCAGTTATACGCTATATCTCATTTCTACCGCAAATACACCTGTTATTATTGCTGGATACGTCCAAGACTATAGAGAGATTACTATAAGAAGGGACCGCTTTAACTGCTATGGCTTGACCATTGCTGTCAACATGTCGGTTCGTTATTTTTACTCTTAGCTAATTTGTAAATGGCTTCATCTCTCTTTTCTCTCTTTCTCTGTCTCTCTCTGTATCTCTCTTTCTCTCTCTCTCTTTCTCTCTCTGTCTCTCTCTTTCTCTCTTTCTCTCTCTGTCTCTCTCTTTCTCTCTTTCTCTCTCTGTCTCTTTCTCTCTCTGTCTCTCTCTTTCTCTCTCTGTCTCTCTCTTTATCTCTCTCTTTCTCTCTCTCTTTCTCTCTCTCTTTCTCTCTCTCTTTCTCTCTGTCTCTCTCTTTCTCTCTCTGTCTCTCTCTTTCTCTCTCTGTCTCTCTCTTTCTCTCTCTCTGTCTGTCTCTCTCTTTCTCTCTCTCTGTTGCAATGTCATCGCTCTGCATGACGTTCATGCGTTTCCCGATCTGCCAAAGTGGTCCCTTCTTAGCGTAACTCCTCTCTATGCACCCCGGCCCCCCGACGGAGAGTCGCACCGGCCCAGATGGCTCAATGGCAACACACGTACCTCCGCTGTATCGTTGCACAAGGAGTCCAAGTGTCAAGTTTCAAAGAAGGAGGATTTTCGACACTAACTACTTAGCTTGGTTGAATTCAATCCAATTCTAATGGCCGGCTGCTCTAATCGGTATTTGTCCCTGGTTTCTTCGATGAATACAGTTGATGTTTGATGACTCAAAAATTTCTCGCGTAAATTTACAATTTTCTAATAATGTAATCACCATCCTCTTATCCTAAAATTCAACTACCAAATAGCACGCAACTGCAACTACCGAATTGCACCGCCAGACTTCCAATATCACCAAATTCTGGTAGTTTTGTGTTCAGATTGGTTGTTTTTAATAGTTTATTGCATATTGACACATGCTTTGGGAAGCATATCCTTAAAAATAAATTATTAATATTATTAACAACTTTAATTCAACCAAAACTTTACAATACAATTGGAGGAATTCAGGATATTTTTATATATTGTCTTCGACTCTGTGTATCGTTTTATTTACAGAGAGATGAAATATGTATGATAATGATATTCATATTACAAGTTAATGGTGCACTGTACTTGGTTAGGAACAGTGATTGTCCGAAAATTTCAAGAAACTATATCACGAACTTCATTTGTCCACAATAAATTCGGTATATATTCATAAACTATGAAAATATACCAGGCCGGCAATATTCAACTACAGGATTCAGGACTTGTTTTCAGCGATAGTAAACCGGTCTGACCTATTTTCATGGGGCAGTACAGGCACCGGTCCTGCAAACGGGCTAAGGAAACGATGGCTTTGGGGTCACATGGAAAAGTGGTGTGCTCGCAAGTTAGGAGTGAATGTAGCTAATTCCAGCAAGTACATTAGTAACTATTTGATATCTATCATTTCATAAACATTATCTAATGCCCCTTCGCAGTGATCTATAGTTCTAACTTAGAAAATTAAAAAAATGTGATTTTCTCTGTGAAAATAAAACACGCCAAGAAATTGTTTACTTATTTATTGCATCTTCTAAACTTCGCTATATTTGCCCACTACATTACTAAGTTTCTGTCAAATAATTGCTTCAACTGAAATGCTGGTAACGACTAGTCCCGGACTTGAATTCTCCCCCTTAGTCAAATGACGTATGTTGCCAAAATCCTTTTATCTAGCGTCTTATCCCTCAAGTATAATGGTACGCGGTGTGGAAAAAGTGTGTCAGTTCACCTTGATTTGACTCTGTTTGAGCGATCATGTGTGACTTCATCTGCTATGCCTTACGTAATATAATTCTTCAGTGTCTTTTGCAACATTGTCTATGGGGTGTGGATTCATGTCGTATCATGGTCTGAAGAATAGGGGTTGTCATTGAAGCCACCTGGGCAGTTCCGGTCGTCATTTAAATGCGTGAATGATACAAATAATTATTTGTTTGTTTGCTTAATTTGTGATGCCTACCGCGTACATTTGCACGCGATGAAGTAAGAGTGCGGTATTGACTGCTGGGCAGCAAAATTGGCGGGATCGGACGGCAGAGTAGCTTTCTACCCATTTTCTCGCGGCGCGGTGCACCGCGGTCGCCCTGCGGACGGCAGATGCCGTTTTCCTCGCTGTCCCTGCGTGGCGGTGTGGCGCACCGCGGAGTCGCCCGCATGCCGTTCTGCCTCTTGAACTTGGCGCTCGTGCAGCGGCGTGTTCCACTTTGCGCGCCAGCCGCCGCCAGCTCTGCCTGCCGCCGCCTGCGTGGGCCCCCTTGCGGTGCCGGCGCTCCCGCCCACTGGGCGCCGCTGCGAGCCACTGCGGCGAAAGGCGCTCGCACACCTCTCGGCCGGTCCGGGGCTTGCAGCGGCGCTCTTTGTCTCTTCTCCTTTCTGTTCTTCTCTTAGAGCTGAACGTTTTGTTTCTTCTCCTTTCTGTTCTTCTCTTCATTCATCTCTTTTCTTTTCCTCTTCCTCCTCCTTCTTCTCCTCTTCCTCCTCCTCCTTCTCCTCTTCCTCCTCCTTCTTCTTCTCTATCTTCTTGTTTTTCTTCTCTATCTTCTTCTTTTTCTTCTCTATCTTCTTCTTTTTCTTCTCTATCTTCTTCTCTATCTTCTTCTGTATCTTCTTCTTCTCTATATTCTTCTTCTTCTCTATAATTTCTTGTGCTTCTCTATCTAGGTGCATCTGAATATTTTACGTTGCACCTGATCAGGGAGACAGAACAGTCTCCGAAACGTCGTCTGATTGCTTAAACTAAAATAAAATTATGATGTACAAAACTTTTGGAAGTGTTATTGTTCTTGTCCTAAATTTAAGTTTCGACTCAAAAGTATATGAAAACTCTTAATATTTTGTATTAAAATGTGCAAGAGATTATGTAACATGCATCTTACACTATATCTTACGCTTCCCGGCTATTATACTAGAAACTGTCACAGTTTTTGACCAATTTCTTTCAACTATTTTTGGACAACATCAAGTTTCTAATTTTCAAGGAATGAAGGATAAAATGTATGTGAATAAAATATAAAATGTGTGCGGTTCCGAAAAAAAATGTTATTGTTCAGCTTTGTATCTCCGTATCATCCACGTTCTCACTTACAATATTTGGCCATAAGATTTTTAAGTACTTTACTACACGTGTATGCACTTATCACCCGTGGTCTCACGTGCTTCAATCGGAGAATCAGAATGATGTTCCACATCGAATGGACTTAATCCTTCAAAAAGTGTCCGATATCGGCGAAATTAATAGTAGTGAATCCATGAGCTAGTAGTTTTTGTCACGGAGAGTGTAGGATTTGCAGATATGAAGATTCATTTTCATACGAACGTTGTCGCACCTTAGCCGGTAAAGGAAAGGTTACTTAAATATATTTGTAATATTAAGTCATTTTTTCAAAATGATTTTCCACCTGGTTATTATTTTATCCAATTTTTGCAGTTGAATTGCATTTATTTAATTTTTTTAGATAAAGAAGGCGATGCTTTTCTCAATATATTGGTTCTCTTCGAAGTGAGTTCATCTGCATTTAAACATATGTTTTAGAAGGTATTCCTACGTATCTTGTACAGCCGTGTGCGACTAATCCATTTGTAGTTATATTCTATGAAGGTTTTGTGGAAATGTAATGGTAAGACTCATTAAGTTTAAAATGAGTTATAAATTTCAGACACTGTGTGACATATGTGTTCATGAAGCTGGAGCTCTTTGAACGAATAAGTTATTGGACGTTTCCCTTTGCTTTTCCATGAAAAGTTACAAACATTATTTTGTGTATTATCATTGTATTTCCCGATACCCTTTATACAATTGGACTACATTAATATGATTTTTAAAAGTAATGCATTACAGAAGTATTTATGGGGCAAGGGTACTACAGAGAATTGTATTATTTTGTGGTGATAACAACAAACTCATTTTTAAAAGGCCTTGGCGAAGCTGTCCTGCTCCAAGTAAAGGTTCTGTTGGATGTCTTCTGTATGCGGTCATTATTGAAATCTGAAACCATTCAATATCGTATTTACCTCCCATATTCCAAAATTCGTCCTTAAATATTATACTGATCACTATTTTCTTATTTTCATCAAAATATTGCTCTTCTTCCGTTTCGCCTTGTTACTCGAAGTATTCGACAATCGCACTGGTGAATATCTCTACAGGTGTGTAGTTGTGGAAGTCCTACGATTCCCAGAATACGCAAACTATGCAACTTGCTCGGTTTGTATTCAGTTCGAGGCGTCTGACGAAATTATGGTCGCCACTTCCAGGTCACTAGTTTGCTCCCATTTTGTGCGACACGTGCGAGGGCCCGGCGCGAACCTGCAAACTACGCTGGCCTTCTTCCTGGAAATGGATGTCCGGGTTAGTTTACTAGGCAGAGGACGCTCTTGAGTAAGAGCTCCTTCACTGGCCCGCCTCTCCAGTGGGTTTAAGCCTGATTAAATGAATTGGGGATGCTGATCACAATGAAAAAAACCAATAAATTATCAATGCATCAATGCTAAAATAACAATAATAATGACGGTAAACTCAGTATGTTGCTCTTAAGAAGAGAAACAATTATTTCCCGGGTTCAAAGGAAGTATGGTCTTTCCATTTGCATTGTGTTTCGGTGGAAAACTTACAGGAAAACTTTACAGTTACAACTTTATTTTAAGTGTAAATCATTTGGTTATAACTGTCTACGTTTATCTCCTTCGCTAAAAATGTGTAAAATAGTTTTTAAAAACATTCCCCGGGTAAAAACATAATCCTTTGCGAAGTAAATAGTGGGAATGTCTTTAAATATTTAAATAACAGTTCACCTCTGAATTTGAGTGTTTATATATAGTAAATATTTAGTGTGTAATATTCGAAATGGAATTGAATTTTTTATTAACATCCTTAGAGCTACTTATATTTACTTGTATTGAAGAAGCATGTAATGGTAGTGAAGCGAACGAAATGAACTCATAAGACAAGAATTTCCAGGAAATTACAGCATATTAAAAAGCGGATTGTTTCTTGCTTTAGGTACTGTAAGTCGATTTGTATTGAAATATAACAAAGGAAGTAGTGTAATTTTAAAAATAAAATCTGATACACAAACTTATATTATTTAATGAGCTCAGTATTTAAAGTTCTAAGCAGTATATCTACAATTTCATTTCTTTTAAAAATAAAAATATCATACTACACTTTTATATTATTTGAAATCTTCTATATTATAAAATTTCACGTCAAACACGCAAGATGACGGTACAAATTCCATTTTTACCAGTATTTTCAATGTTTCTTTAGAATCTTCAAACCTGAAAAACGATTTTTTCCCCCAAGCAACCCGCGCGTGTCCTGGAGCCTCCCAAAAATATCTTTGCAAGATCTAAACTTTGAATGACAGAGAATTCACAGCTCAAAATCTAAAATAAATATGATAACGGAGATTTCGAATAAAAATATGAAAAATAAAAGATTCGGTAGGCGCCTATTCTTTCCTTTTTGCTGTTTACGCAGGTTAATGATCTTTGTACACCAGCTCGTGAAATAAGGAGGAGAATTGCAGTATCAAGATTCACATTCAACTACATTTTTTATGTAGTAGAGACTTCAATTTTTCTCTCAGATGGATAATGACAAAATGTTATAATGACATAATAACAGCTGTTCTCTTATGTGGTCGCTGGATCGTGGATAATGAAAACAGCATCTATTAATAGATTCCAAGGATTCGGAATGTGGATGATCAGAAGAATATTGAGGATTTCCTGGATAGGGTAAGTGCGTATTTGCCTCCGTTTTGTTTTGAAAATGCAAGATAAACTTCCGGGTAAATTTAGGAAATTTTATCATATTTTGTTCTTGGGTAATTATTTACGAAAAAAGATGGCTATTTAGGTATTTCGAACTGACTCGAGGTTTTTACACATATTTCGCTTAAAAAACGTTGTCAAGGGTAAAATCCTTGTTGACAAAACTTATATACATGTTCAGTGACCCCCAAAACCATACAAACATCAAATAACAGAACTCTTTGCTATTTACCCTTTTCGAGCACCATTTCACTAGACTAATGAACTCGAATCTTGCATATATTGTTTTTTCGTACAAAATTACTTTCCGATCTTTCACCCCATTATTATGAATATTAGCCCCGTATGTGTAGAGCATTTTATAAATACGAGGAGGTGGTAGTATTCCTATGCAAATACGTTTACTATAACTCGGAAACGAAAATGACTATTTTTCAAATATTGCTAATCTTGCTATTTTTATAATTTATTTTTATTTATGTTAAACTTTTACCCATCTTTCAACTACTTATAGTTAAAATGACGGGAAGGGATTCTGGAACTCAAGAAAACGTGCGCAAATAATCTTCTCCCCTTATGTCACATACAGTTTTTACTGTTTTTTACTAAAAAAATCTAAATCCTGTGCTCGAAAGTTAGATCCGGTGCCAGTCTACATGTCATCTTGCAGAATTTCCTGTGAGTATCTTCGCCAGTGGGGTGCTGCCCAAGCCGAGACAAGCACTCGCTTCCCGACTGCTCTTCCGACATGTGTGGTAGTGTAGCGCTTGTAAGTGTGTATATGTGTTAGGGGTGAGGATAGGACAAGGCATGGGAAGGGAAGATCGCGCGCGGGTACGGGCCCATTTGTTACGGTACTGCTCCGGCATTCACCTAGTGTAGATCGAAGACACCACCGAAAATTACCGATCAGTGTCCGCTAGAATTCTGCTCCAGACAACGACTGCATTCGACCTGGATCTGTACTCGGAACTTGAACCTTAGGTCCTCTCGGTCAGAGAAGTTGAGCGACATCAGTTGTTGCGCTGGGCATTTTCACCCAGTTTCTCTTCAACGATTTGCAAGCCCCACAATAAATATGAAATAGCTTGACTGATTCCTTTTGGTGATACCTCAATTTCTCTTTTCTTCATTAAAAATTGATGAATTTAAATAATTTTAAATAATTTTATAACACGATTATTATGATATTATTATTATTTTTATTATTGGCGAATAGGTCATTACTGACCACGCTACACGATTAACGTGTGTTATTCTTCCAGGATCATCTTTTCAGCTGTATCCTTGGATTACAACAATGTTGTTACGCCTTGTAGTGTGACTTATGAGATGATAGGATATACGACCATGTCTACGCAGGACTCGAACCTGCAGCCTCCTCTGCACAGACGACGGCTGCCGCAACTGTCTGCACCACGGGGCCGACTATGATATATTATTATTATTAAAATTGTATATAAATTGACACGATTTAAAATGAATGTAACATTCCTACACTACTTCGATTTAAACAGTGTGATTTCTGAGTTTTGATCAGCTGGAGGCGGCTGTCAAATCAGGAACTTCATTACGACTTAATTTATGGTATTGAAGCTCCCGTTTGGATATCCACGTCCCAGAAAATCGTATTTCAGAAGTAACTCGTTTAAATCGGATAATAGTGAGATTGTTGTTTTGTTTGTGTTGTGGTTTGTTTTGAATGGCAATATAATCATAACCTGGAAATATTAACAGAAATGAAATTTTAAATTAATTTTTTTAAATTTTGATTTCTTTGCATGTTTTGTAATTAATGCATTAAATTTAGATATGTAATGTTTACAATTTTTAAATATAGATAGAAATTCAGTGCATGTAATAAATTGCACAAGCTTAAATAATTTTAGCGTTTTGAAAGCCAAGAATGTCAGTGTCAATTTATGGATAAAAACACTAATTTTCAACCTGTTTCATCTTAAATATTTCTGACAAATTACGAAATATATTAATGTGAAAAGCACCTCACTCCGTTTTTGAACTGGAGTCCGTTCTTGTACCTGTTCCTGTGTATTAAATATCCCGAAGAGACTTCGTGTACATTAAGTGCAGTACGCTGTTGGAGACCCCTACAACAATTCATTTTGTTAAGTTTCGACAGGCCTATGTAGCATAAAACGATACTTTATTTCCTGAAGGTCGGTACGTCCGAACCAGCTGTAAATTTTTACCCAATTCACAACACGCATTTATATTACAATACAAGCAACATTTGTCAGTTTTCCCTCATCTACCATCCATGTTCATCAAACCTTTAAATGAACATCGCACACGCGACATTCATCTCTCATTTCCACCTCACAACCCGGACATACGCTTTAATTGCAACACGGATCTCAACAATAAGCAGCGATATGTAACCGGTCGAAAAGTCGACTCCATGTGATAGATCAGCGCCACGCCGATTGTAAAGCATTGACACTAATGGAACCGCAAAGCGCAGCCGCGTACAAGAGCGTGCGTTATTGGCGGGAAGCTGAGCGGGGGTCCGCGCCGCGAACCTGTCGGCACTTCATAAACCTATTAATAGGCCCGGCCCCCGTGACATTTCCACCCGGGCGTGTGCCGGCCGCACGCGACCGCCCAATTGCTCCGCGCGTATTGTTTGACAAAATCTCGCTAATGACGGCTTCTCACGCAATTCGGACGCAGTGACGGCGGTGTCGTTGGCGGCTGCTGCTGCAATTATATAATTTCCGAGATACGCTCCCCCGCCGCGAGCCTTGCTTTTGAGGCGGTCGCCACGCTCGGAACCATATATGTCTGTAGGTCGCGTATGTTCCGTTTACTCGTTACGATGGCGGATCTATTTTTTTTGTTGTGAGCTAACGATGTGTTTCCCCCGCGAACGGCCATTCTCGTTGCATGTGTGGTACCTCTGGTCGTCAAACGAGTGGTTTCTTTTGTGCGTAACTTATTCCGGCTTTATCGGACTGTACGGGAATCAACGCAATATGACCATTAGGAAGAATGGTTTCGCTTCTGAATGTGTAGCGTCTGCCAGTGTTATAATAATTTTTTTCTGAAGAAAGAATTGGCGTTCATTGATGGTTACAGTGCTTTCTTTTTAATGCCCACGCGGGCAATCATTATTCTTAAACGAATATGGCAAAAAAGGATGGAATGACAGAGGAACCCCACATACCTGTAATAGTGAACTATTTATAACCATTTATGTCGAATGTCCATTAAAAACACAAGATTGGATTGATTAAGGATTCCGGGCGCGCCAATGGTCAAGGTAATGAGTCCTGTAAGTGTAGTGAATGCATTTTTCTTGGGACATGACTGTGATCTTCCCTAGCTCGTTGGTAAGATCCGACGCGGAAGTATCCGTCGGCATTTGAGGTTCTTTCCCTAACCAGGTATCTACCGTTACCTTGGCACCGCCCCAGCCTAAGCTTCCGCCTGATCGTCCGACGTGTGTGGTAGTGTAGTACATGTTAGTGTGTGTCTAAGTAAGAGGTGCGAATAGGAAAAGGAAGAGGAAGGAAAGATCTCGCGCCTCCGTGGTCCGTTTGTTAGGGTACTGCTCCGGTATTCGCCTGATGTTGAACGGAGAAACCACGGAATACTACCGAACAGAACAGCTGGCCGCAAGTATTCTTCTCCAGACAGTGACTGAATTCGACCTAGCTGCTTAGCCAGCGTCAAAGATCTGCCACCGTCAGGACTCGAACCGCAGGACTTCACGGTCAGAGTCATTACAGTAATATCACTTGATACCCTGAGCCATCTAAATCGTTGAGCATGTTAGAAATTCGGATTTCAGCGATTACGAACTGACGAGAAAAGGGAAGGCTGGGTACTTGCGTGTTTGGGCGACTTAAAAATTCGCTTCGCTTTACCTTAACTCTTATCGCAAATTATCATTTTTATGTGGTTCGGCACACTTTGTTGTAATCAGAAGCTTCAGCGCTCAGTGGGGTACTAAACGTGACTTTAAATCTTGTTTTATCTTTTCACTTCTCGTTCTGCATTAACGTTTCATGCACGTTCATTGATACTCTCAATGATAATTAAACTCTTCCTCGAAGTTGGATACTTTCACAGCATGCGTCTGCATATTTCTGGTAGCTACACATCTTCCATCTTGATAAAATTCCGACGATAACGAAAGTCGTTCGCCATAACGGAGCCAATGGATGTGAGCTCTCGTGAGAAGAAGCGGTCATCGAGATGTACTTGTAGACACTAGTGAAATATTTAAGTTGGCCACGAAGAGTAACTGGCCGATATTTGCAGAGACAGGTTCAGCAAAAATCGCCTTGAGGAATGGACACTGGAAGAGTCAATTTGGAAAACTTAAAACAACTATGGCAACCAAATTTCAATACACTCATTTTCATGTTATTTATAATGTTACTTGCTATACATTGCATTATAACAATGAAATAATTCTGAATTAAATATTTATTCAAACAACCTTTTTTAAATTTTGCATTGCATTTTGGGGAGGAGGGATTTTAAAAATTTCCTTCCGTAGGTCTAGCAGAGAATTGCTAAATGTCCATCTCTTTGTCAGAAAGTTACTTTCTTGAGGAATAAAGATCTAATTATAGTGTGTAAAATAAGAATTAAAATTTTAATCATAGATCGGTGGTATTTGAAAATGTAGAAAGTATGATTATTAACTAGGAAAGATGTAGATTTTTCATGAGATTCGTTTTTAAATTGCTTTTCTCGTTCTTTGTAAATTTAACATAGTATTTGAATAAAATTCTTATTTATTAATATTTATGTTACACGATATTAAAGGCAGATATTTAAACTGGGTGTTTCTTCGTTTTATTCCTCTGCAGTTAAAAAAATTAATTTTTGTGGAATATATTACATTTATTAACATATTTGGTAGCTTCCTATATTAGCTATGAAAATTAAATCACTTGTGGAGTAAACTAAGTGACTTCAGGAGCTCCGGCCATCAAGAAAGAAAGCGGAGGGCTTGAGGAAAGTAGCCTTACAAACAATGACCTGAGAGGAATAGGGACAAGAAATTCTGAATGAGCTGTAATGTGAGGGACATAAATAAATGCAGGGGGCATAAATGGTTGCAGATAGAAGAGGAAAAAGCGAAGTCATGATGTATTCTTGTCATGGCGCTACAATCCTAGGTGGGTCTTGGCTTGCTCACAGTCTTCCGAAAGTTATTTGTGTCTTGAGCCATTTTTTTCAATTCATTTTACGTAGTGTTCCAGAACATCATCTTTCAATTTCGGTTTTGGTGTTTCATTGCGTCTTGGGCCTTTATTGGGGACTTAAAAATGACGGATTGGGTCAAATATTTCATACTAAGATGCACCGGAAGAACATTGAGATTAATTGGAGATACTCGAAAGACAAACTACTCGCCTTAAATACACCTTTTACTTAATACAAATAAATTTCATAGGTCTATCTCATAACAATTACTGCTACACGGCCACTAAAATGCAACTATATAAAAGTGAGTAAAGCCAAACTCACTAGAAGTGTTAACGATTCGGACTCCCTCCTCGAGCATGGATACGTACTAGCGTGTGGTCTGGAGGAAAAGAGATACATGGTGAATCACCATTCATGTATCAACTTTCGTCTCTCTTCCTTCAATTCTTGGCCTCCCTGGAAGACCCAGGGGAATTTAGGCCTACCATGCATTTGATTAGAACTTTTAGACGCGCCTACCTATCAGACGCGCCTACGGGGAGGGGTGGCTCAGGGCATCAATTGATGACATTACGGTGCCTCTGGTCAGGAGGTCCTGGGGTTTGAGAACCGGCGGTGGCATGATTTTCGACACTGGCTACATAGCAAGGTCGAGTTCTGTCGCTATCTGGAGGATAATTCTAGTGGGCGGCTGCTGTTATCAGTATTTTCCCGTGGTTTCTCCGATTTATATCAGGCGAATGCCGGAACAGTATCCTACCAAACGAGCCACGAACCGCGCGCGATCTTTTTTTAAATTTATTGCGTCTATACACGCAACGCGTCTCCCAGCTCCTAAGAGCGTTGAGCGCACATTGGAGTAATCCTCTGTTAATTACTTCCATAGAATTAATCCTCCTTTATTACGTAGCCAGCACCCTATAGGGACCGGTGGGTAGTCACGTTACGTCAGTCGCAGTCAAGTCAGAGAATCGCCGATAGGTAGTCTTCGCGCTCGCGTCTCGCACGCGCCCTGCGTCATCTACCTATCGGCCTGAATTGGGAAGGAATAAGGATAGGGGTAAGGTTTAGGACGCTTCACGAGGATTGGACTAGCCCCTGTGAAGCGTGCTAACTCGTTTTGTCGTAACAAATCTTTTCTTCCCATTCCTCACCCCTTACACATACTTATATTCACTACTCTACCAAATATGCCGGGAGACTAGTTGGGAGCTTAGACCGTATCCCGGCTGGTGGAGAATACCTGGTTGGGGAAAACCCTGCAAGCCTACGGTAGGTCGGCGGTGGATCTCGCAATTCATCGGGAAAAGATCACAGCCACACATCGGGAAAATATGTACTACAATTAAGGGACTAATGACTTTCGCAGTTGACGCACCCGAAATCACTAGAAATCAATCAATAAATCAGATGTGCCTAACTTAAAGGTGCACGAGCATACACAGGGTTTGTTCCTAAAACGTCATAGAATCGTGCATTTAAGTTTAGGCGCCAAAACTGAAAAATGCCAATACAGAATGTGTAACCGGATGTTCTTGTAAGAACTTCTTTTTTTCCTTGCCACAAAATCCTGTAGTTCCTTTTCATTATGAATTATCATTATTGTCTGCTCATACTCATTTATGAAGCGCTTGTGTTTCTGTATCAATTTCCAACGGCGATGAAATTTTAAGATAAAAATTAATTCTACCTTAATGACTCTACATCTGATAAGGATATAATAACTTGTAAAATATGAAAGTATAATTAAAGATTCGATGATAAAATCAGATTTAAGCTGATACAGAACATGTGAGATTATAAAATAAGTACATGCATTTAATGAGTACTTCCTCTAAGTTTCCTTTTATTTTCTGGCGTTACTGCACGATGTGCAATATAGAGGTCAATATTTTTCATTCTACAAATGAATGACTATCAAGGTGTGGCATAAATAAACTTGAATCTTGATTATCCATTACGATATTCCATTAGGATGTCGAAGTAGACGTACTTCTCTTTACCTTAAGCAAGCATTAATATAATACTGTATTATTTATTCAATTTTGTAACATTTATCACTTGAATATGAATTTATATATTCTATATTTATATATTGTATCACTTGTACATTTAACTTCAAGGTAATTTCAATGAACAGAACATTGCAAAAGCAAACATGACAGCAAACCTTACATCTTTCTTAATGAATCAGACAAAAATGTACATAGATTAATCATGAAAATCAAATTTATTCAAAGTAGCAAACATCAATTAAAATGAGGCTATGAAATGAAAAAGAACACTATATCGGTCTAACTCACAACTTATACATCATGAATTTACATGACTTAAGTATGTTTAGAATAACTGAACAAGTTATCTTCGGCAAATACTATCTCATCACTCTAAACGTTTACGATTTATCAAAACATACATATGATGAGAAATATACCATTTGACCATCGACATTTAAGTAAGGATATACTGTTATTTGATGACGAAAACAAAGTAAGATATTGGTCAGGCATCGCCGAAGAGGGTAGTCAGGGGAACCGATCCTTACACCAAAGCGCAAGTAATCAGACTCGGTTAACCGCTTCACGGCTTACCGGTCATCAATTGCATAACTCCGGCGAGTGCAGTGTCATGCAGTCGGCCGTCTGAACCAAGTCTGCCCTGCCTTGCCACCCGTTTCAAAGCATTGACTTGGGCAAGCAAGAACAGTAAACACTGGTTGAGATGGCTGGGATGTGTTTTTGTTAAGCAAACTTTCCTTGCAGCAAGTCAAAAAACTAAAGAGCTTTGGTAGTGCGATATGTTCTACGAAAAGCTACGTATTACCTTCTAGAGGATTTAAATGCTACCCATTTGGCTGACACAAGTGTTTGTAACTCCTCATATTCTATTTACGTAGTATAGAGAGAGACGTATACGTTTCATTACATAGAGCAGAAGAAAAAATGGAGATATTTAGCCAGAAAAACTAATATTAGGGGGGCCATGATATCGAAGAAACGATTACATTGTTTCTAAATATGCAGTAAAATACTTCCCTTAACAAGTTGTTTCGACATATTCCACGTTTTGAGGGTTCTTGATACCGAAAAATTGGTTCACGGCAAACTCCGTCTATCCGCTTGTCCATCTATCGAACTGTGGTCAACCCCAGTGCCTAAACTGTCAGACGATTTTCTCCTAAATTGATATTTCATTATCAGTAGGGCCGAATGCATAAACTTGCGAATTTGAGCAGGATATTTTGATTATTGTGGGTACATTACATGCAACAGTAACGAAATTTTTATCATTTTCTCGAAAATTGCTTTAAAGTTTTTTGTATAAATATTTTACTGGATAGAGCAAAGCACGTTCTAAACAATTACGAAGACCCCATTTTCCTTAGACACAGATTTCTAAAATTGTAAGGGTTCAAATTTTTTCGTCCTCTTTCTACAACTACAATATTCAAGTCAGAGATTTTCCCATAAGACCTCTTTAAATAAATTAATTTACATATTTTCGAAAATGAGTAGTTTTCAAGAATTGTTATCTGGAAAACTGCCCTCGGTTCTCGAACATATAGGTAGTGAATCCGAGAGAATACCCGGCAAGCGGTTACTCATTTTTGATGGTGTAGTTTTCTTACCGTAAGTAAGATTTAATATTTTGTAAGTACATAGTACATGTATATAACACCATGAATAAAACCAGCTAATCAAAATTAAGATTAAATCATTTAAATTAATTGAATAATACTGGTTTTGTATCATTTCCCCCCTCTATATTGAATGTTCCAACTTGTCAAAGGCCTTTTTGAAGGATATCTTTTGAAGATTTAACATTCGATAATACTAAACCGATTATATCACAAATCAAGAGGAACATACATTATAGACTTCCAGGTTTATACGAAACAAATACGAATAATATCACCTCTACGATTTAATAGTGGAATCTGCGCGTTGTTACTCATTATTGGGGGGTCGTTTTGTCAGGTAGAGGCATTTCTATGACAACAATAAATAAACAGGTAGAAGAATAAATGTAGTGGGAAATATATTAGGTATTGTGATTCCCATGTGTATTCCTTTTAACACAGATATTACTTCCCTCTCCAGTTTTGGAAAACAGACCAAAATGTGCAATTTATTGAATGAAAGATATGAACGTGCTTTGTAATGTTTCCAAATGGTTCTTGATCTCAAAATACATGATTATTGAACGCAAGTCTTTTTGGAGGTAAGTAAACAATACCAGCTTGTTTTGCATAATGTGTTGAACTAATGATTCTTACGTAATTTTGATGAAAACAGCTTCAATTCTGCAAAGACGTTTATCAATGACTTCTATTGTTCTATAACCAAAATATTCTCCTGATGGTGAGTGGAATGAGAAGACATAAAGCTCAGTATCGCTGAAGAGAACATTTACTTTGTCCAGATACAAAGGAAAACGAAATTTGTGAAGTGATGGCATCGGAGAGTGAGTAACGACAGCCTTGAATAAAACCGGAACGTGACGCATTTGTCATGGCTCTTACAACCGAAGTTTATGGACTGTTGCACGTGTTTCCGAGTACGCAAATGCCTTCCCGAATTCGTATCAGCAGCACTTCGTGTTTTGTGGAAGTGTTTTCATTCAGCAAGTGATGTTCTTATGAATACAGACCGCACCAGAATTGAAAATTACAAACATAAACCAATCAACAAAACACTTAGCCGATCCGGTGGCCGAGATCGCTCAGGCAGTAGTGCCCTAGCGAACTCGGACCGAAGGATCGCGGGTTCGAGTCCCGCCTCGGGCATGGTTGTATTGTTACAGTTACCATACCGTTACAAGCAATAGTGGTCGCTAATGATCTAGTAGTTGATGCGACCTTAAATAACAAAAAAAACAAAACAAAAAAACCCACTTGTCTCTTCTGAGGACAGAACGGCAAAGGAATTAGTAATTTTTAATATCACGTGTAACCTGACGGAATTGATTTTGTTCACCTGAAACGATTCATACTGTATTTCGAACATGCAATATTAAGATTTTTACAAACCAAAATCAACGAGAATAAATCGTAGATTATATTACGATTGAACAGCGAAGAAAATAGTCGACATGAGGAGCGTTGACCGAACTCTCGTGACGTCATTATCCTGGTCGACTAGACGACCTTCAGGCGAAATAATTATGTATGCGGGTCCCGAGTTGGATGACACGTTATTTCCCGACCCCGTTTCTGCCACATTTTCCCTTTTGCATGGCCGGCATACACCTGTGACCTTCGAAAATATTATGCTGGTCATGTGATTGAAATCTTCCGAATGCATTCGGAATTACGTTTTGATGAACTAAATCTATGAGAAAGTACAATTTAACTTTGTATGAAAGTATGAACTATGAGAGTTTGATTTTAATGATCAGTTACTATATTACATTAGTGGTAGCAAAAGTTGCAATTCAGTAATATTCTATTCAATAATTCGTGAACAATTAAATATTCTGCATAATATTCTAGTGTAGTGTTCACCGTGCAATATTAGAAACTTATCACATACCAATATGTTTTCTATTTTATCTGAGCTTTCGTGGGACGGGTGATTTGATTTCAAATACTAGGGTTTCCGAAAGAAAAATAACATTACGAAGTCTATAAAAATTAGATGGATTCAGAAACGACATTTCTGAAGATTTTAGTGTTAAATAGTTAAATAATATAAAAACCTACATTTTAATTTGAGAGCAAAAAAAGATAGCTAACTACGACGTGAGCAATACGATACATTGTACAGGAGGCGTAGTAGATTTTCATTTCATGGTCATCATTCACGGTCGATGCCTGTTAGTGTGATTTCTCCGAAGAGAACAGGCATGGGAGTGTTCTTGACGTTTATTCTGACATACGAAAGCGCCGCAGAATGAGGTGTAATTGTGTGTGTTATGTAGCCCAAGCCGTAAATCTACGACAAGCATCACGACTCATTCGAAGCGGAAAACGTGCAGCGCCGACGCGGGCTGTTCCGGCGGGGGTGGAGTGTTACGAAGAGAGACTAGGGCCGTGGGCCGTGGGCCGTGGGCCGCGCCACGACAAATTTTAGTTTCCCTTTCTCTGTTCTTTCAAGATTGCACACTGCACGAGTCCAGTCTAAAACAATGGTGCTATCAAACGAATATTGTAAAACACACTGGTGAAAATTCAAGAAAACTGGTAAAATATCCCAACGTGTCCTATTAAAAGCTATAATAAGTAAATGACATTAAAGCCAAAAGCATAATTTCGTAAGTAGCTTCTTTGTAATATGGAAATACATTCTTGACTGCTTTTTCAGGACAGAAATTAATATATTCGACCAGTACTTCAGAATGGAAGTGGAGGTTTTGACATGTATTGATTTCGATGGAATATGTCCGGTAAGTACTAGTACAAGCTTGAGAATGATGTCGGAATATGTAATTAATATTATAAACCACGCTGGCCAAATATGAAGAATCTGACCAAATTTTCTAACGCTAGATATATAAAGTAAATAAAACACTAGTTTAACTAAACCTGGTGCTAACTAGTGATAATATTATTAACCCCTTCTAACCCTTCGATCAAATGTAGATTTGTTTGACCACTTGGTATTGCCATGATCTTCAGACTGGGGTATGGACACAACATGAAAAGCTCATTGAAATCGAACTACTCTAGTGCAGACTATGGCACAATTTACGCATGATTGGCTGAAGTAGGTTTATTTAACATCGTGTGGGATGTAGTAGAGAGTAACAACGTGGAAATGGAAAATGAGATATTTTCTGATGTGGCAGAAAAGCTTCTAAAATCGCACTCGAATAGACATAGCCAAATTACAGACCTATTAGTCAAAACCCTGAATCAACTTCCAAATTAAGAGATAATCCAGAGCTAAACAACGTGCACGGTCCAGATATTGACACACTGGTGTTCAGGAGCACTATATGGCTTGAAGGGCTATCTCCAACAGACTAACAACGAAAATACGATCACGTAGACATAGGTATGAAGAACTAATTATCTTAGATGCTAGGAAGAAAGTTTACCCTTTTATACAAAAACCATGTGCCTTTGAAATTGAACCACCAGTATCAGTCATGTTGGGAGAACACCGATAACTAATCCATATGAAATTGCAGAATACTTTGCTGATTGTTTCGCGGACGTTGGTCAACAGATTCTGTCTCCCTTTCGATAAAGTGCTGAGACGTCTCACAAAAATCCCAAGAGAATATCAATTGTATGAAAAACTGCGTCATGAAATGTTTTTTTTTGACCTGAGAACAAAAGAGGGAACGAGGGGATATGGTGGAGACAAGATCCTGTATGGGCTCCACAATGAACGCCAAATTGGGACTCCATTCACAAAAACTCCAGATCAAACACTTGTGGACTTCAAAGTAAGCTGAGAAAGGAAGTGGCACGAAAAGGTAATCGATCTCAGTTTATTGTAAACCGAGATCTATATGAGATATTCTCCCTGAGAGTGAGCTGCTAATAGCTGTGCTACAAGGAGAACTTCTTTCTTCAAGAATAGTTTGGGCCGTTGTTTATGGAGCCGAATGAAGTAACGGGTGATGCGACGACAGCGATGTGATGTAATGGTGATACCTGTGATTTCGGTTGCCTTTCGAATGTGGTGTGATGGTGTAAACAAAGTCATAATTGATTATAACTGTAACAATGAATTATTTTTTAAAATTTGTTGTGTCTTCGGAACGCGTCTCTAAGCGCTTCTGGGGCGTTGATCGTTTGGATTAATCCTCCTTAAAATCCTTTCACTTCACGGAGCGTAGTTATGAAATTCGGCTAGCGACACCGGCCTATTTGATATTTAATTGTGGGATAAGTGTGTACGAGCTTGGTTGAGGCTGACATTATTTAATAATAAATAAATATATTGTGAAGTGTCATAATAGAAAATACAAAACCTATATTCCGAAGTATTCACCAAAATAAGAGACGTTGCTCCCTGAAAGAATTATTGGATATTATGAAATATATTTTATCAAGTAGTCTAATTCTATTCTAAATTGGAAACAATCGCTGGTCAGCTTGTATCTGACCACAACTGATTGTCCTTTTTGAGTTCGTTTCAATGGCCTGACAAAATTGCTAATCAATCGTAACGAGAGTTTGTTATAAACAAATGTGTGCACCTCAAAAATATAATATCTGTAATGTCGAGGCAGCGTAACAAAACAGTACAGATGACTGATTATACTAAAAAAGTAAGATAATGAAATTAATTGTACACACGAAATCTTTCGCCAAAGTTCGCCTTGGGAATCGTAAGATAGCACAAAACTACGGAAAGTCTCCTTCCACACAGGCTGCGTTTGAATGCAGGGAGCTCTTGAATCTGACACTGAATTAATTAAGTTGTTCAACGATCCGTGACGTAATGCAAGCGTCAGATCGTCGCAGTGGAGACGGCGCAATTTTCCTTGCTGTAGACTATCAGATTTAAAGGGAAGCTATAGGGAGCTTCCAGCAAAGATCATTGACGCTTCGGAGACTTTGAGAAACTGCAAAGCAATCTCATTTTGAAGACCGAGATGTCATTTAATAAATTAATTAATTAGTACGAAGTGATTTGTTTACCGACTTGAAACGGGCTTTTCATGTAAGATTCGTCATGAAGTCCCTTTTGTTTTAATGGTTTTTTGTCTAACGAACCTGTGAATAGATGAATTTGTTTCCAGTGTACGTTTCTGTTTCAATCTCATGATACGATGTGAATAGTCTTTACAGTTGCATCATTTTTAATTCAAATCGGAAGATTTATTTCTTTGTATTCTTTACCCAGACATTTCCATTTGCACGTCTCCTCGTGTTTTTAACTTCATTAACATAATATATAAAAATATATATCGTGACACATGACAATAAAAAAAATAAAAAATGTCTCTTAATGGAGACGTTATGGAATTTTCTTACTACTTTGTTTAAATAATATAAAAATCATAGGCATTTACAACAAAATATACTGTAAATGCACGAACTGTAAATGGAGTAGAAATTTTTTGTAGGTGGAAACTAAATTGTAATTGGAAGTGACCTATGTTTTTTCGATGATTTTAGCAGTTCCTTCGATTTCGTAGAATATTTAGCCTCTAATGATCCTTATTATGGCATAACGTATTTCTTCAAACCTCGTTCCTATATTCTTAATAACTTACACTCTCTTAACTAATACCAAACCACTGTTCAGCCACATGCTATATATAAACGCCGTACAGCTCTAATAGCACGTCACTTAGTATCGTGTTAACAAAATTAGTGTTGATGACAGAAAACATAACAAGAGTAGTCCAATGAGAGAGTGACGTCAACTATTAGAATCACCTCAACAATACAATATCGAATTTTCTGGCGTCAGATCATTGTTTAATTCGTTCACACTTCAGTATTAAGGTTTATTAGTTTTATTCAAAAGATGATAAAGGTTGGTGTAGGTGGTGAGGCGATGCACGCTATTTAGTTCCAGTGAACTGGATATCTGTATAGATGTGTGTTTATCTATCTGGATGGACGATGGGACGGATGGAAGTATGTGGCATGCGTAACTCTAAAACGTAATCCTGCCAAAATAACGAATATCATGGTGTTTTCGCCTGGCCTTAGGCAAGTGGCGCCCGCAGCAGCACGACGTAGCACCGCCTCGAAAAGGGCGTCTCTGTAGTCAAGGCATACATAACAGCTTGACCTCGTGACTCGTTGAACGCCACACGTGAGTTTGTCACCCGTGTGTACGGACCTTCCGTTTTTCCATGGGTTTAGATCGACCTAAACGTTCCCTGCTAACCTCGTTTTTTCCCGTAGTCGCTTCACTTCAGCCAACACTGGCCGCGTCCACATCATTCCACCCCTCCGTCGGTTCAGATCGGCCCTAACCGGCCCTGACGACACTTCTCCACCTCGCTAGTCCATTTCATATGCATTTTAAGACGCACATTTTTCAGAATTCAACAATCTCGCTTTCTAGCATCGCCTCTACACAACGCCTAAAGACAACGCCTTTTGGCTCGAGCGTACAAGTGAGTGGGAAGTCGATCCTGGCAAGGTACCAGAATTTTATACGATGCGTTTAACATCGGTGAGATGGTGGCGCCGCGCCATTCAGAATCGCATTTGCAGGCAAATTGTGCCATGCATTCTGTGGTTTCCCTGATCACTTTCAGGCGAATACCGGAGGAGCAGACAGCGGGTAACGGACGACGCTACCTCTCCTTGGCATGATGATGATGATCATCATTTCATATTACCTCCAAGTTTTTACGGGTGGCTGTGGGGATGTTCCTCCCGTTATAAACTTCCCTGACATAACAGACATACGTCAGTGAGGAGGACTTGACCCTGCATCTACGCGCAACTAAAGCTATAAAAAAGACTGTCACGCTTTCCGTGGTCCCTTCGTGTGATTTGTGGACAGCGTGCTAGCTTTCTGTGAGGCGGCCCCGGCTTCGGTTCCTGGATAAATTTGAAACTGTGGCTTTCTAATACAATTCATCAGTTTCTACAGCTGTGTGACGAAAGAAAAAGCTCAGACAGACCCAGTAAGCTAGGTACAGTGATAAGAATACGTCATGCTTGCCACATGTCTCCCCTATCCCCAGGCGTGGATAATAAATAGAAACAGGTTCCATGCCTGGGAACACCGCTAAGTGACAAAAGTCGTATTAGTCTGACCCTGAAATGCGAAGTACCTACACAAAGCGAATGAACAAGTAAACATACCCTTTCTTTTTGATAACGTAAACGGTAGTTTGTAATGTTCGCAACTAACCCAGTTGGAAATTATTTAATAAATTGTTTTAGTCTTAGTCCTTTTTAATCACAGATCACCAAACATACACCATCTACCAAAAATACGCCAATCTCCATATCAGTACTTTGTAACGATTTGTTTGTTGGTGGCAGTTGTCAAAAATTGTGAAAGTTAATTTTTTTAAAAAATTCAAGCATCTGATAGCAACAAATATTCTTTCTTTGATAAAAACTATTCGACATATTTCATGGTGCCAGATGTACCTGCCAGCTGATTTTCAATTTCTGCATCCAATTCAACTCTTCATTTTCCTAGTGTAGACTGCTCCACCTTTGAAATAAACGCAAAAACCTTGTGTTCAGTAGCTATCGAATGAAAGGGAGATTCACGGTCTGTATCGATTAAAAGTACATTTCTAAACGGATGCATTGTTTTCCAAATCCAAAAGAAGCAATTAAACGCCGCTTTGAGTCTCATGGCAGACAGACTCGGCTTTGATAAACGGCTGAACCCGTGATGTTTTAGGTACGGGCGCGGGCGGGGTGGGCTTG